TGCATTGGGGCGCCTTGACACACGCATGCAACAGTTTGTTGGGACCGGAACTAGATCAAGACTCGATCCAACGGTCGGCTTCGGGCAACTGAGTTGATGCCGTATTTCGATGACCAGTTGCCATGCTGGGTGCTGAATAGGAGTCCGGAAAGCACGACTAGGTCCTCCAGTTGAGAGGTCAGAATAACGGTAATTACCATGCAACTTTTTTCTGTAGTCTATTTTAGTAGGGTTGACTCCCAACCAAAAAGGAAACGGTGAGAAAGGGCACCAATTGCTGGGGACCCATCGACAACGAAGGATCCACAAAAACCGCGCCCTTCAGCTCCCGAGACGCCCGGATTCGGGACCCAGCGCCGGTTCCCCGCCTGAAAGGTGGGAGGCCCCTCCGAGAACCTGGCGACTTCGCAAACCGAAGCGTCTTCGTTGCGAGAGCAGCCAGCTGCACTGGCGAATCAAACACCGAGCGCATCATCGTGAAGTACCGCTGGTGCAGCCCAAAGCCAGGTATGGGTCAAAATTAAACCATCAGACCGCAGGTTTTGGTCGTTGTTTCCATTTACCAGGGTTCCATTCTGGTACCCATTTTTGACCCACACCCATATCCTTACGCGCGTCATGCCCGCTTGTGGGCATGGGATTCAGAAATTTACTGAAGTTGATGAGACCCCTGGCGAATTGAAGTCGAAACCTCCGGCGTCCAGGCACATGGACTCGAGAAGCATTCTCTAGCGGAGACAGCGACCAAAAGCCAACAGGTTCTGCGAAAAGTTTCTGACCCAGGTGGAACATATGGAGAGGGCGAGAAAGAAAGCGAGTCAGATCCACAGAAGCCCATATCGAACAGGTATTGAATTCTTGGGGCATGATTGGAGACCCAGAGTCTCAGTCCTCTCTTCTCCCAACAAAATACCGGTGGACCAAAGCGCTCGAGGAAGACACTGGGGACCCACCCAAACTTCAAATTTGTCCGATTCAGCGAAAGCACGGTGCACGGTAACATCCAAAAAAGCTCATGTTGCGCGTTGCATGCTCCGAATTTGGCGATCCATTTGGGTATGGGTCAAACTAAAACCACCAGGGGACCACAGGTTTGGGTCCATGTTTCCACTTACCAGGGCAACCCATTTTGGGGTTACCCTATCTTTGACCCACAGCCATTTGTGCTGCCTATTTACTCGCTGAAATCCAGGCAGCACATCACTGCCGTCCACTTCCGGGAGTCTCACGTCCCAACTTCGCAAATTTCAAGCCAAGGAAGGAGGAAAGCACACACAAACCAATCCCATCTGTTCAAACAGCCAAGGAGAAACCAAAGCAGAAACCTGCTGTGATTTACGCCAAAGGGTTTCAGGCAAGGCAATGAGGGAATGACTCGGAATGACTCGGAATGACCATGAACTTTCCTTTGAGCATCACAATATCCCCCACAAAATTGAGGAGAAAGCGCATGAAGCAAACAACACTGACCTTCCCATTGCAAGATGGTTCTAAGGCCCATTGACTCCCCCGCAAAGATCGAATTGCGCCTGGGATCTACCTGGGGCGACGGGTCCGGTCTCTACTAGCACTGGCATTGAGGTCCTTCACAGCACTGTGGAACCCGGATGAGTAAACCCCTGTTTGTCAAAATGGGGGTGTTCCCCTCCAAAAGTGATTTAAAAGAAGAAGAAGAAAAAAACGCTAAAACTGGGGACACCCCCATATTAATCAACAAGGGTTTAAGCATGTCTGGGGTCAACATGATCTTAAACGAAGAGAAGCCAACAGTCCAAAAAGCCCTTTGGAGCTCCAGGAAGTGCTTGGGGACAAAAGGATGTGTGGCTAGTTCTTGATCTTTGAAAGACACAGTGTGCAAGGTGTCACACACGTACAGTCACTTTGTATAGATGGCCAACCGAGTTGCCTGACGTCCTTGGAAACATAGCTGGCGTTCGCAGAATCAAACTGCAACCACAGTGCCATCTATGTTCAACCAAACTGTATTGACACATGGGTGGGTCGCTTTTGCTTGCTGGGTGTCTCTTTCAAGGGCAACCAAATGGAAGCCGGTTTTGAGGTTCCCAAGTAGCCACAAACCCGCATGTCGTCAAGATCAACCCATGCAGCTAGTCGCAACTGCACATGCCCAAGGCGATCCTGAGCGGAGCTATTACTTGAACACGGCGCTCGATCAGCGGAGCCGACTGGATGTTCCCTCCCGCTAACAAATCTAGGGGTACCTTCCCCATTCTTTCCAGGGATCCTTCTTTTCAGGAAACCATCAAACACCCAGGGAAACAGCCGGTTTTTGAAAAGAATGGGGAATCACCCCCTAGAACAAACTGGAACTTCCATGCTGTCAAGCGAGCAGGCCCTGGCAGGCAGGTCAGTAAATGCCGACCGGATATCGGGTTTACCTGGATTCGCACCTGGAGTGTAAGCCCAAATGTCCAAGACTAATCCCCCCCCCCTCCCCCCGTTTTATAGGACTCACCCACGTCTTACGACACACCCACGTTTCAGGACACCAGGACACCCCCACTCGTGAGTCCTAACATAGGTGTCCTAGTCACGGACGTCCCCAAACGCCCGTCTGCCATCGGCGTCCCCGCGAAATCAACGACGTTGCTCTCGTCCAAGGGCCTGTGCACTTGGAAGCTAAGCACTGCACGCTTGGAGGGAATGTGTCCAAGCACCAGTGGTGTGGTCGAACACGTGCAGGATTCGTTGTTTGCAAACTGTTTGGCCCTTGGGGTCTTGGTGTGGTTGAACGCATGCGCGACGTTTGGCAATCTGTTTGGCCCTTGGTTGTTTTTGTTGCATGTGTCTCGCTTGCTCGTCCGAGCTGACCCTGAGATAGAAGCAAGCGCCCCCTTGCTCAATTCTGCACCTGGCAACTTTACAACGTGGATGCGCTGTTGGCAATTCTTCCAGGGTGCCGTACTATCCACAGAGGTGCTTTCCTACTTCTAAGGTCTCTCGCCAGCCCCAACGAGCAAGCAGGCAAAGCAAAAAGCCTGGCAAGCACGCCGGCAACAAGCGCGCGCGCGCGCAAGCAAGCAAGCAAGCAAGCAAGCAAGCAAGCAAGCAAGCAAGCAAGCAAGCAAGCAAGCAAGCAAGCAAGCAAGCAAGCAAGCAAGCAAGCAAGCAAGCAAGCAAGGAAGCAGGCAGGCAGGCAGGCAGGCAGGCAGGCAGGCAGGCAGGCAGGCAGGCAGGCAGGCAGGCAGGCAGGCAGGCAGGCAGGCAGGCAGGCAGGCAGGCAGGCAGGCAGGCAGGCAGGCAGGCAGGCAGGCAGGCTCGTGTTGCCGAGCCAGCAAGCCAGCCAGCATGCAAGAAGTTGGCAGGACAGGCAAGCAAGCCAGTCAGGATAGGCGAGCGCACAAGCTTGAATGACTTTAGGCCGACCTGAAACCCAACATATCTTGAGCAGATGCAGCTCTGCAAGCCCGAAGTCAGCTGCAAACTCAGGACCCCAAAACGGTCGTGCATGCAAATATGTATATATATATATATACGTTTATATATACATAATATCACATGTAAAACATATATAATACACATATATGTATATATACTCAATATACTATATGTATGTAACATATACATAAATACATATAATTATATGATCCAGGTCTGTGGGCTGGTTTAAGCCTTGGCTTGGTGTCGTGCCCGTTTTGACCTCGGGTCAGCCGGACTTGGCTTACCCGTTGAGTCTTGGGTTAATTTTGGGTGTGCCCTAGGTGACCCCTGCCTCCCCAACAACAAAAATGGTGTCCTTTTTTGCCTCCCCTCGAAACCACCCCCCCGAAAGGGCATCCTCAAAAAAGACAGTGCTGCGTCCTTCAGGCATTCTTCCTCAGATTAGTGCTGGATCATGTATGCATATAAATACATATGTTTATATATATATATGGACATACACATGCATGTTCGTACCTATGGTCCCCTCTCTGATTTAATGCCACTACGGCAAATTTTAAAGATTTTGGAAGTCCAAGCCAAGCTTGCCTGATCCAACCACCCCCCCGACTCCGACTTTGGCCAAACAAAAGGCGGCCGCTTGCCTGATCCAACCACCCCCCCGACTCCGACTTTGGCCCTGCCTAGACACGTACTCAAGGTAAGGCTGCACCTTGAGAAGTGGCCGAAGGCAGAAAGTCCTTTCAGCTTTGGGGGGTCTTTCTATTGACACGTTCCCAAACTGTTCTCCCTTGATGGTTGCCTGGGAGTGCAAACTATCTTCGATGTGCGCACTATGGTTGCCACTACCAACCACTTCCCACCATGAAGATGGATGCATATGAGTCAGCGCCAAAACTGTTTGTCTGGGGATGTCGCAGAAAAACAACTTGCTGGACGTCCCACATCGTTGCTAAACAAAATAACAGGTGCATGAAACATTGCTACATGAAGTAAATGACGGTATTTTTGAAGCTGCCTCAGATATGTATATCTGTATACAAACAACAACGTATATTTATGCATACACTTTGTACAGGTTGCTATATAGTGCGTGGGAATCCCAGTCTGCCCCCTGGGCTCATGGTTTGGAGATTTGGGGGCGCTGGTTGTCTTGTAAAATGGATCCAAATCCATTGGGCTGAAACATAAACAAAAACAAAGGGTGTGTTTACCACTAACATGGTCCAAACCCAAAACGTTGTTGTCCATGAACGCGAGTGAGAATCAGGGCACAGAAGTATCCCTTAAAGACTTCCCAAAGGCTCAAGCCATCTTTTTCGGGATGCTGACCGGTCAAGTAACTTGACCTGGGCAGCAATGAACAGCTGCTCCACTGTAAAATGCCAGGAATAAGTTGGTCTGGACATGCGAAACGCGATCTTTGGGGCCATCAGAAATCCTACCTCTAAGAGATCTAGAACGAAGAATCTATCCTTGCAATCATCTATGGTAGCCAAAGGCTTGGTTGTTTGCAACCCCGCGCTAAAAGTGAGTAGACCCAACAAACCAAACAGCATGCCAACAGCTAAAAGCTCCATCGCCCCCAAAACCTGCTCTCAATGCCTCTCAGATGGCGCCTCCCCGTAGATGTCGTCGAAAATTCGGCCCTTCGTTCGCTCTGAGTCGATGTAGTCCTGCGACAGAGCGGAACCGGGCCTCTCAATGGTCGCATGCTGCCTTGAAGAATACAAGGGTCAATCGAACTGACATGCACATAGATTTCTTTGCTAATGAGTGAGGGAATCAAAAAGCAACAACCAAGGTGCGTGTATTTTTGGCTGCTGCCAACACGAGCCTCCTTCTGCCATGCACCAAACTTGTGCCACGGTCGTGCTCTCTCAATTCACAGTCCAAGGCTTTCCGGGCCGTGTTTGGTGGCATCAGCAAACTCTTCCTACAACCTGAACAACTTCTCGGTCCTCCAGTAGAGAGGTTAGAATCAATAAGGGACCCCAAAAATGCCAAAAAGGGCACTACTGACCTAGACTTACAGATTTGTGCGATTGCTATGGCTTGCTCCCGGGAAAGCAAGCAGCAAGCCAACACAAACCCGCCAGACTTGGGCACCCTGCCAAAAGTTGACTTCTTGGTTGAGAAGAAAATGACAGAAGCCAAAAAAGCAAACACCTGGCAATGCCAAGTGCACTATCCTCGATCTTGAGCTCATATGATAGAGAGAGAGAGAGCGGAGACGAGATAATCTACACATACTGGGAACCCCGCAATAATAAACCTCCGGCTGACTAATAGGGGGTGCCCCCTTTTACTGTGGAGTCATCACTCTTGGAGGGAACCGCCCCTATTTATAGGATGTGTTTACTAATCTCAGGTCAACAGCAGTGACCGCAAGTGTGACTGCACTGCAGGGAATCTAGTCTCCCAGCAACTAGCTGTATGGAGCAACGACTTCATGTGGGCCAAAACTCTGCCAGGCACATCTTCATGGCTCTTAATTGAAGAAAGCAAAGGCGACCCCCTAGCCCAGGAAAGCTTCGAACCTCGCCTGTCTTGGTTCTGAGAGCCTTGAGAGGTGCTCCGGACTTGTCATTTGGGTATGGGTCAAAACTATGCCACCAGCGGACCGCAGGTTTTAGCCCCTGTTTCCATTTACCAGGTCAACCCATTTTGGGGTTACCCTATTTTGACAACCACAACCATTTAATTACCTGACGGGGCAGACCGCCAAAATCAAGTCCTCGCAGAAAATGCTTTGGGTCTCTCAGATGCCCAGCGGCCAAGGGAAAAAAGGGCACCCTTTTTTGGTTGGTTCCGCCATTGCTCAAGACCCCAACCCCCCCCCCAATTGGAGTGAGTGGAGCCCACATCCTGGTTGACTTTAAAGGGACACCCTTCCCCCCCAAAACAGGAAAAAACGGCACCCGCTGGGCAACTGGGGTCTCTCTGGCGGCTTTGGATACCAGGTCTCTGGCTCCGGCCGCTTCCGGTGGAAAGGCCAAGGAAGCCCACGGCTTCGCGAAACGGCGACCGGAAGGAAACCTTTGCTTCCATTTGGTTAAGGCCCCAGGAAAAAAATACAAACAAAAAAAACACAACAACAATATGTTCAGTAGTGACAAATTCCTGAAGCCAATGGAGGTTTGATTTTTCCGTGGGAAACATGACGCGTTTTTGCTTGCCGGTTGTTTACATTTGATGATTGTGTTGTCGTGTTTTGTGTATTTATGTTGCTTGAGAAAACACAACACATGAACAAACAGTTGATCAATAAATTAATACAATGTACGCAAATGATGGGAAACCAATAAAAAAATACCAAACACATAATAATAATAAATGCATACATGAAGTAAATAAATAAATGCATAACCTAACACACACATATAAACGGCGCGGAGCAAGCCACCCTCCGCTCCTTCACGACATAGGAGGCTTCTACCGCCTCGCCTCGGTCGGAAAGGAGTCACCAAGTGGTTTCCTCAAGGGGAATGATTTGCCCCTACTAGGTCCTCCAGTACAGAGGTTAGAATAAGGGTGCCAACTTTTGTCTGTAGTCTGTTGGGAACCCTCCCCCCAAAAAAGGGTACAAGAGCACTACCGGCAAACCTAGCCCGGGGCAGACTTTTTTCCAGAAGAAGGTATGCCTAGAAGCATGGGATTTGCACAGACTCACGTTGAAAGATAGCATTGCTTGTTGGAAAGGTTTTCGCCCGACCAACCCAGGTCAGAGGGGAACGCAAACGGTCGAAAGCCAAACGATTGAGCACCTGAGCACCTGAGTACCCCCTTGCGTGTGGAACAAACCGGCAATCGATTTTAAGCCATGCCACCAAAGCCTCGGACGGGAGTTCCTTGCCTCTGTTGGCAAACGACTCCGAATTAAGAACCACCAAGGGCTCGTCTGTCCTCCGAACATATCTAAACTTGACAGAGTCAAGGCGCCGCGAATCCTGATTAGACCCGGTGACCAAAAACAAATTGCCTGACATACCCGACAGGCTGAACGAGGCGCCAAAAACAAAAACCGGCCGCACGCTGGGTGTGACAACTGTTCTGTCCGGCCCCCCACAAAGGGGAAGCAAATCTTGGCAGACTGGCGGACAGGTCTCAAAGAAAAACGGGAAATGAGCAAAGCCTCCGCAAAAACTGGGGGCTCTGGCAAAGATCAGGGTGAAACCAAAACAGCAGCTTTGAGAAGTCTTGTTGCTGTCCGACCCCCTGTCTTGGCCACTTGTCAGCCCCCTTTAAATCCAGGATCGGGGTGAACTATAAAAAATATACCTGAAACCTCCGTGAAGGGTGCAAACTGTGGTCGTGAGGCTGCTGGAATTCAATCCATCCATAGCCATGATAGTCGGCCCGAATCTAAAGCAAACAACACTGGCCTCCGAGTCTTAGACACTCTCCTGGGTAGATTGGTAAGAAACGATCGAGCTTTACCCCACTGAAATATGGTCCACCCCGAGCAAAAAGAGAAAAAACGTCCAGAACCTCGGCGGAGTTGAGTCTTACCTTCAGCTCCCCTCGCCGGCGATTTGGAGCCGGGTTCGGGTTCGGCGGCTTGGGATCCTTGAAACGGAGGTGCCACCAGGCAGCGGTACGGCACACAGACTCCGGCGAGAGCCAGGGCTTCCAGTGCCGGGACCCCCGGCAAATGGACCGCGTCACGATCTCGCAGACTTCCTGGGTGAGCACGCTCTAGAGTGCTTACGTCCTAGAATTCCCGTCATCTCTAAACATGAGATCACACACACACACACACACACTCGGCCTCTTAGGTTCGTGCGTGGCTCTTGGGGCACTTCTTCTTCCATTTGCTCAAGCCCCCTGGAAAACTATACCAAACATAGATTCCCTTTAAACCCAATAGGGCAAGATAAGACATATTCATTCAGCACATGAAAGGCTTTTACCTTCCATAACTAGGTCCTCCAGTAGAGAAGTTAGAATAAGTTGGTACCAACTTTTTTCTCTAGTCTATTCTAGACCCGGGGAACCCTCCCAACCAGAAAAGGAACGGGTGAGAAAGGGCACCAATTGCTGGGGAACGCTTCGAGGTAAGCTTCAGCTGGAGCTCCGGGGCCCCGGCTGCTTCAGTTCTCCCCTTCATCCAGGCTGGTCGCACCTCCTCCGGCTGAGCCTCGCGTCCGCGCAAGATTGGCCAAGCTCCACGTGTGTTTCCTTTTTTCTCAAATACAAACACCGTCACACGCTCCCATCTCTTTTTCTTTTTCGCCCCTGAAACTTTTTGGTTGGTTTTATGGCCCGCAAAGGGCGCGGGGCGCGACACGCCGTTGTTCGGTCTCGGTTCCAAAGTTCGGTCCATGGGCCCACCTGAAGGGAGACCAAACTGCCCAGTTTGGACCTGGAAACAAAAGGTGAACCTTTTCGGAGCTTTGCTAAAAATGGGCCAGGGAAACCAAAAGGTCAAAAGGTCGATTCGCTTTCACTGAGCAAAAGGAGGTTCGTTGAACAATGGTTGTTGAACAAGTTCGAGGGGTTGGCTCAACTCTAGCTAACTTCCCCAAAGCCTTCGCCCAAAGTGTGCCGAACCACTTGAGGGAAACAAACCCCTTAATCTAAGGGTTCCCCGTTGTTTCTCCTTTGCACATATTTGTGGTGCCGCAATGTTTGACAATTTGGAAAGGGCCGATTTAAAGTGAGATTCCTTGCGACGGCTACCCCGACGCAAGGCCTGAAGAGAAATACATCAGACTTTCTCTTGCAATCAACCCACAAGTTCTAAACGGGCTCTGATCGCTCGCAGAGGACCAATGACTGCATCGTTTTTCGCATGGTCAAGGAACCCGTGGAATAGTCACATTCAACGGGGCAAGGAACCCACTTGCCCCAAGTCTCACCCTGCTCAAGCGATGTCAACGGCCCCAAACGTTGGAACCCCAGCTGGCTTCCAGTTCAGGGTTGTAGGAAATGACCACTTCTGTGATACAAAAAGGGCCTCCCAAAAACTACCCCCCCCAAAACAAAAGAGGATTCCCAAAAGTATCACAGTGGTTGGATACACCCCGAGTGATCCCACAACCCTGTTCCAATTAATTCTCTTCTCAAAAACCTTCCGAACGTCTTTCGCAGAACCACTCGGAGCCCTGCCATGAGCCCCTGCGTGATGACCTGGCCAAACACGAGGAACACGAGAGCGAAGGACATGGCCGCATCCCTTTAAGTTGGGACCTTTTTTTTTAGGAGAGGCTCTTAAGAGGGTAAATGGGAATTATTTTGTTATGAAGCTCTTAAGGGGGTGAATGGGAACTTGTAGCGCGAAAACACACGATTTTGGTGGTCAAGTGGGGGGCATGTAACATGGGGGCAGGGGGGATGTAAGAGGGGGGAGGGGGGGAAGCGAGAAAAAACAAAAAAGTGCCAACTGGGGGGCCCTGTGCGGTCGGCCTCTTTGAGACCATTTTGGGTTTTCTTTCAAGGGACACCAAAGCAATCAAAAGCTTTAAGCAGGGGCTCAGCACTTGAGAGACAAACCCAAGTCCGGTACAGCTTGCGGAAAATTCGCCCTGATGCCATAAGATGGTTCTAACGTAGCAGCCACATCAGAACATCTCGGGCCTTACAGTTGCCCAAAACCAACAGAATTGAAAGTTGACCGGAAGTGCACAGGTTCCCTTTCGGGAAAGGGACCGAGTGATCCGAAAGGGGCCTGTTCATTTCTGTGTTGGTTGGTGGAAGGGGGAAAACTTCTGTCTTGGTTCCAGCCCAAGCTTCAAGCATAATACACACAAAGCATGGAATAATTTCAAGGTTTGAGCTTGAATGCATCATAACAAGGGGTCCCCGAAAACAAAAAGGGAACAACACAATACATGATATGACTCGTGTCTGATATTCCCCTGGAGTTTCGTTTTTGTTTTTGCCCATGCGACTGGGGAGGGAGATATGTCGATATACCGCAGTCCCAGAAATGCTCTGTTCGAGCCAGGAATTGCCTAAGAAGTGTGGCGTCAATATAGATGACAAGCTTTCAATCATGCAATGATATAAGAGACACAAATCATGGGCCAATCGTAGTGGAAACACATTATTCTGAAACCGCAAGACATTGTCAACAACCAGTACCCGCACTCAACTTTGTTACGAACAACTTCTTGGGACCACGCCAAGCTGTGGATCTGTTTGTTGATTGTCGCTCGGCGACACACCGGCCCGAACAAGAAACGAGCGCCTTACAATGGGAAACTTCCTGCGTTAGCCGGTGTTCAAAGGAAATTCGAAAGGAACCCCAAGATTTGCGCCCAGGAGCATTGTTACAGAAGACATCTCATTTCGCCTGGTTCTGTGCCAACCATGGCTGACATCTGTTACACTCCTTCTGCGGCAAACTACGACTCGCAAACTGGAAGTACGGCAACCCCGAGTGCGGAACCTTTATTTTGGGTGGGCCCGTTTGCTAGGTGAGCTCGCGACAAACTATTCATGGGTAGAACCCGACCCCGTGTTGTTTTTTTTGTTCGCAAGGTCTACGAGTCAAGCATCATCCATCAGTTTCTGGTCGCAAAATGAAAATCGGAACCTTCGAACCAGACACAAGAACTGGATACCTGTCCCACACGAGTTCTGCGTCCGAAACTCTCCGTTGGCTCGCCTCAGCTCATGTCTTCGAACTTCCGGCTGTGGCTTTGCCGTTTCTTGGTCTTCCTGAACCTAAAGGCTCCCTTTCGTGGTGTCCAGTATCGCCGTACCTCAGATTTGGATGCCCAAAAGGAAAAAGAGCACAGGTCTTGGAAAAGTGACTAATTAACTTTTAGCGGTTTAATTCGGAAAACCCACTAGTTGGCAAAAAGCTAAAGTCCTATAACATCCAAGCAACATGCAACATGGATTTGTTTGCTAGTGAGTGGGGGAATCAAAGAGCAGCAACACCAAGTCGCTTGCATTTGTCCGATTTTTCGCTGCTGCCAACACAAGCCGCCTTTTGCCCTCCAAACAAACCGCGCCAACGAAAGCCTCTTGCTCCAGGCCGCCCGTCCCTGGGCTCGACCCGACCGCGCGCGCACCTTGGCGGTGCCCGCTGGCGTGCCGCCGCCTTGCGCCGCCGCGTCCATGAACCTCGGCGGGCTCGGGACTCGTCGGGTCGCAGGGATTTGGCTGAGTGGATTGGCAACAAAAAAGCTGCTTGAACCTGTGATTTACCGAATTTACCGCGCCAAAATGGCAACCAACCCCAAAAAGTGACTCGAAAGTCCAGGAACTCAGGAAGTGAGTAGGCCAGACCAATGGGATTGCCAGGATTGCCCTTTGGCTTTCCTGTCCAATCAACCTTGAGGGTACCCCCAGAAGTGAACTTGTGGCAGGCAAGGGAACAAAGCACCAGAAAGAAGGGGAAAAAGTTGAAAAGAAAAGCTAAGTCTGGCAACAGAATCGTGAGGTGAGGAACAAATGTGTTCAGTTGTAGAATCCGCAGAAGTGCGTGTTGGTAGTCTAGGTCTTTCGACTGGGTCCCTTATGCGGGGTCTCTGTCCCTGTGGCTGAGTTCGATCACTTTTAGACCCAGTGAATTGACCCTATGGGGGGAGGATTTGGGCTTCTCCAATTCCGTTTTTCGGGTCCAACTGCAAGAGGGAAACAGAAACCATAGAAGTATTTCCATCGGTTGAAAACCTCCCTCAGTTCCAGCTTTGAGTTTCTCTGCGGTGAGAAGGTGTTTAAATAGTCATTCAGACACCTGCAAGAACGGACAGCTACAAAGTGTGTCTCTTTAGGTCAAAAACAAGATCAGCAGGCTCGAGCTTTTGGGCCAATGCAGTGCGTGTGTGTGTGTGTGTGTGTGTGTGTGTGCGCGCTCGTGTGTGTGTGTGTCACCAACTCCGGTTCCCTATGCTGAACATCACCCAAAGGAAGTTCGCGTTGAAACTGGCATCGAATGTTTGAAGCACCTTTCACAAAAACATGAAACGGGCGTGTGTTCAAAAAACAGGGATGGGACCCAAACAAAATTCGAAATGGCATCGGTTTTCTCCTTTTGTAGGTCCTCCAGTAGAGAGGTTAGAATAAGGGTACCGATTGATGCTTTTTTCCTGTCGTCTATTTTAGTAGGGGAACCCTCCCAACCGACAAAGAAACGGTAAAAGAGCACGAGTGGACCTAGAAAACGGCTACGGATCTCGACTGAGCCCTGGGCCATGTAGCATTGCTGGTCATCGCCTTTGATCCCGCGCCGCGCTCCCAGACCCGCGCGCGAGCGATTCCGCCCACCGGGCGGTCGTCCAAATTTATGAACCTCGAGCCAAATCGTGGCGACGCGGATGGCGAAATCCGACATGTGACTATGACACGAAGAAGTCTGATGATTTGTGTTTTGACCTTGGCATACAAAGCCGCTGCAATGCCCAATGCCCGTGGAAGAACTTGGAAACTACCAACACAATGCACCAACGATGCTTCATCTGTAAGCCCGACGCTGAATAGCATAAGCAGGGACAATCTCGCACACACACACACACACACCACACACCACACACCACACACCACACACCACATACCACACAGACACAGACACAGACACAGACACAGACACAGACACAGACACAGACAAAGACACACACAGACACAGACACAGACAAAGACACACACAGACACAGACACACAGACACAGAGACAGACACCGACACCGACACAGACAGACACACACACACAGACACACACACACACACACAGACAGACAGACAGACAGACAGACAGACAGACAGACAGACAGACAGACAGACAGACAGACAGACAGACAGACAGACAGACAGACAGACAGAAACACACACACACAGACACACACACACACACACACAGACACACACCCACACACAGACACACACACACACAGACACACACACAGACACACACAGACACACACAGACACCTACACACACACACAGACACCTACACACACACAGACACCTACACACACACAGACACCTACACACACACACAGACGACACACACAGACACACACAGACACACACAGACACACACAGACACACACAGACACACACAGACACACACAGACACACACAGACACACACAGACACACACAGACACACACAGAGACACACAGACACACACACACAGACACACACAGACACACACACACAGACACACAGACACACAGACACAGACACAGACACAGACACAGACACAGACACAGACACAGACACAGACACAGACACAGACACAGACACAGACACAGACACAGACACAGACACACACACACACACACACACACACACACACACACACACACACACACACACACACACACCTCTATGCGTGTATGCAACTTGCCTGTTATTTGACGGATCCTGCTGCACGTTGTTTCCACTTTGAGAAAACCTTCTAGTGTTTTCCGCAGCCAAGAAACAAAGGCACCCGACACAAGCCCCACAAGCGGGTCCCCCCTCCCTCACACAGTGCCCACCAAAGCTCACAGCCGGACATGCCACGTGTGGTGAACGGCATTGCCAGAGAATATCTAACAGGTTCCATCAACGAAAGCTCGGTCCATAGGCTTGAAATCCCAACCCACAAGCCAAGGGAATGTTTTGGCCCATGGCTTGCAAACCCGCCGACCGGTGACGCCGGTGACCCTACTTCGAGCGGTCCGAATGTGCTTTCGGTTGACGTTCAGCGGCATTAATCTTACAACTCGAAAACTCAAATCCAGGGGTGTTCACAGTTGATCGTTGATTCTGGTTCCCCGCGCCACTAAATGAAGACAACACCTAAAACTCTAAAAGCTTAAATCCCTGGATTTGCACAATTCATTGGCTAGCGTGTGTGGTGGGAAAACAAATCAGTAAACCCCAACGGTGTCTCAGTTCTTTTGGGCAACACTGGAACCGGGCAAGACAAGTCTCCATTCATTTTCCCCGCTGGCCTCCCCTCCCATCACGTCCTTGACATTGGCCTCCCATTCGAAAATGTCTCTCATCGCATCATCGTGCTCTTGTTGAGTCCTCAGGAAACGAAACCGAAGCCATGCAACATATCAACATTTGTCTGCGTCTTCGTTACACCCAAAGCCCGGCCTGTGGGGGGAACTACGAGTCCGGCCAGTGACCAAGTGCCAAAGGCTCCATGCCTTTTCAGTAGGCCTGTCTCCAAGTGAAGTCCCCACCAAATCACCATTGGGTAAGTTAAATTGACTCACTTGAAGATTCGCACCAAAAAAGCACTAGTATAGGAATCTCTTTGTGAGGCTCGGACCACCAATTGTAGGTTTCATTACAAATGATCATCGAAGCACAGCCTTTTGGTGCGGGGATGCAATTCTGCATACACACGAGTGGGTGGAATTGAGGCCACCCTTCTTGGGCTGTTTTCAGGAAGCTGAAAAAGGACCGGTGACCATATGTGGGGCTCCCCGATGCTCAAAAACCCACGCTTGCCCAGACCTTGCACGCAGTGCCTCCTGTAAACCCTTGTCTTTATGGTCCTGGCATATAGTCTGTAGTAGTTCTGTACCCAGAAGACATGACCACAGGTGTGAGTTGGGACCATCCCATAAACCTGGGGCTTTGGAAAAGACCTAAGTTTAAATACGCATCGAGTCCCACCGCAAAATCCACCCCCTTTTTGCAAACGCCAGGCCGGCTTGGTGTTCTGTGTCCTTTTGGGTTGACACCCTGCTTCGAGTCAAATCCAAGTACCGAGTTCCTCTACGATTCTAGTCGAGTAGTGATTGGGAATTTGGTGACTTGCTGCTTGGATGTTGAATGAACCACAGACATATGGCTGTGGCTCAAAAAAGTGGTACCAAAATGGCACCCTGGTAAATGGAACCAAAGACTAGAACACGTGTAACCCTAGCTTTAAATTTTGAGCCACACCCATATGTTGACAAACACAACAAATCCCAGCAAAGTGCTGCGTAACGCACCAACCCGCCGGCCAACCCACCGGCGCGCGCTTTTCTTTTTTTTGGCCGCGCCCTCGCGGGGTGCCGGCGGCGAACCTGGCTGTCGGCGGGTTTTGTGCACTTCACCGTCCTGCGCTAAGAACCACGTAGCACAGCCAATGGGTACAGCTGTGCCCCCCAAAATCTTTGGCCGACCGCCGAGTTCCATGGTTGATAGATGTGGTCGCTAGGTGGGGATTGGTCCTGTAAATCGTTATACGCTGTGGCTCAAAAAACCAGTACCCAAAATGGATCCCTGGTAAGTGGAAACATAGACCAAAACCTGCGTAACCCCAGCTGCTTAATTTTGAGCCACATCCATATTGCCAAACCTGACACCTTGAAGGATTTACGTTGTCGTCACCTTGCCGGAAAGGCGGGGCCTTTCGGGATGAAAAAACAGGTCGGCAACTCGTTGAGGATTCAACGTCCACCTCGTGGAGTTCGATGGGTCTTTGAAAACATAAGGGAGTGCCCAAGCATGGGTTGATTTCCGTGTGGCTTCCTGTCAAAAGGCCCATCCGATTTTCGGATATCTTTTGATTCGCAAGTCTACTTCATACTTCTCATGTGTCACCACCGGCTCATGGCTGAATGAATAGTGTAGCCAGACCGGGTCAGGAGTCTCCAAAATGAGGGGCCAAACCGGGATTCGGTTGCAGCTGGGTGAGAGTGTTTGTCCGGCGAGTCGAACGCAGCAGCCTTCTGTGTGTAGCCAGCGGGCAAAAGGAAGCCGCAAGGGCAACTGGACAGAGAACATGCTCCCCCGAGCTGCGGGTGCAAAGTTGGGTTCCGTGTTGTAAGGCCAAACGTCGGCCTTCCCATGGGCCGGGCGTCAAAGCCAAGGCTGTTACTACCAAAGGCTTTGGGCGCAGAATGGCTCGAGCGAAGGATCAGGTGTTGGGCGCTCCACTGGGTTCGTTTTGACAAGTTGGCGGGTCACCAACAAAAAGAGAAACACTCCTGCTCCTAAATCGGGAATCCCCTAATGTGTGGGTTGGGTTGATGGTTTCGTTTGGGGATTCGATCCCGTGGTCCTAGAGCTTCAATGGGACACCACCCCCCGAACACAAAACCCCCGCATCAAAAGCACCAATTCGTGGGAAGCTGACATAAAGGTTAGGTCAAAGGTCGCCAAAAACGCCAAGTTTTTTCAAAAGGATAGAAACTAGGTCCTCCAGTAGAGAGGTTAGAATAAGGGTACCCTTTTTTTCTGCAGTCTATTTTAGTAGGGGAACCCTCCCAACCGAAAAAGAAACGGTAAAAGGGCACCTAGCTGGGGGACCTAAGAAACCTTCCGCGGACAGAAGTCCCATGGACTGACATTCCTTCTCCCGCCTGACGCTGGAGTGCTTGATCCTTCCTCAGGCGAGCGCCGAGTGTAAGGGGCCATTTGGCTGTGGGTCAAGAACGGTACCCAAAATGGAACCCTGGCAAACATAGACTAAAACCTGCGGTCCCCTGGTGGTTTAATTTTGACCCCTACCCATTTAAGGCCATACTGTGGATGGCTGCGAAATCCATTTCGCACCACCGTTCAGAAACCCTGGTTTGTGATGATTCCCCTGTAAACACCAGCAAACAGTTGTGTCCCATGGTTTCAAAGTGGTGCAAGATTGCGCCCATCCACAGTATGTTTGATTCTGGGCAATGTTTAGTGAACATCAGGATGTAAGATAGGTTCAACAACAATCCCAAAAGGGGGCAACTGGATGAACCCAGAGCCCCACACCATTCGTCTATTGATGTCGAGCAAGAACCTTCCCCACGCTGAGAGCCTGTCAAACATGTCCTCCGACAACTCTCAGGGGTATTTCCGACCCTCCCTTCCCCAAAACCAAGCAAGATCAATTACAATCATTCCCCAACCGAAGAGCGAAAAAAGAGGTTCCCTACGTAATATAGTTTCATGGGCGAGGCTGCCCCATGTTGCCAGACATCTGATTGTGGTGCAGGTGTTCCAGCACGCGTGACGATGCACATCAGCCACATCTGCCAAGCAAAATTCTGCCTTTCTGAAGCCATCGGTTGAAAACACAGGAGCAACTCTCAAGGGGTGCCTTGATTTTCCTAGCTCAGTCAGGCGCACGAAAATGAGCTTGCCAGAAGACTGGGTCCATTCAAGTGACGTCCTCAAAGTTCCCCTGAGATGAAATGGTCTAAAGGCTTAAAGGGGCCTGTTGACGTGAAGCACCACACAAGTGCTTTTGAGAACACTTACTCCAGGACCATGTCTGCAGTTCTCCAACACGGGAGAACCACCCAACAGATAAAGTGAGGCCCCCTACAAATCGCTTTGTTTCCGAAGAGAGTCAGAGCAAGTATTGCTGGATGGTGTTCAAGGGAACCTGAAACAGTTGTAGTCCAAGCATTTGCTGGGCGCAGCAAGATTGCGCCGACAACTTCTGCTTGTACAGGTCTAAGCCATTGTCGGGGTGTTCGCTTCCTTGTGAACGCGACGTAGCCTGGTTGTGTAAACCATTTTGACGGTGTGACACATGCCTTAGCATATATCTATGGGGGGGGGGGGGGTGGCGGTTTCCGGGCCTGCTGGTAGATGTGCCTATCCAAGGTTCAAAAGTGTCCAACCCCCAGAGAGTCAGCGAGCCAAAGGGAAGGTGTTCGGTCTTGGGGCCAATTTCCTCAAGCTGGGTTCGTGATAATTCCACCCTGAAGCACCGTCGAGAGTTGGACAGTAGCGACTTCTGAAACTACTGTCAATACCACAAAGAACAATTCAGTGCCAGAAGAGGAAAATCTCAGAAAATCCAAACGCTCGACCCTAGATGGGGATGTGGTGTTTAGGGGAACCCCCACAAAATGGATTTCAGTTTTATTTTTATTTTCCCTGCAAAGCCACCAGAAACCGGGGCACCCTCCAAAACAAGAGGCAGACCCACATGTTGTCTGCGGACCCACCGCCCCGAATCGGAGACTTCCGAGCCACGAAATCCGCCTCGAGCGCAGACCACCGCAGCTCCGGAGAGGCCTTCTAATCTGCAAAACTCGGCCGGGGGAGGGGGGGGACGGGGCGATGTAAGGTTCTTGTTTTTTGATTCTTGGCCATGTCTTTTTTGGCACATTCATAACATCCCAAAAGCAAAAGGCCTCTTGGAAGAGAACCGATGGCCCATAAACCATCCTAAAATCTAGAGGCCTTTCGGAAGAGACAAACTTCAAAAGCATGGTTCGCACCGCCATTGTGCCAACAACCTCCTTTTAGATTTCCTTCAAAGTCCACCACGGCCTGGGTGGGGGATCCCTAGTCATAATCTGTAAGCCATAGGGGGATGTTCCTTGCAAGGAAAACCACTACCATCCGGTAACAGGATCACAAGGACGGTATGGATTGCTATAGAATTATCAAGGAAATGGGGCCCAGTAACTGGGGCCCAAAATGGGTGCGTTTCGGCGATATGGAACGATACACTTCGAAGATTATCATGCCCATGGCCACAAGGATGCCACGCGCAAGTAGAAGTGCAGCTAAGATGATGTTCAAAAGATTGAGGTAAAAACAGTGGCCAAGCTCTGTGCGTTCTTTCTCCAAGCGCTGAGATCA